TCAAACAACATTTCTTATATTTCAAAACCTTTTTTTTTTTTTGTTAAACTTTCAAAACCTCTCTCAGTTTCTCCATTTGTCCTCGCTGAAAAACAAACCCTAATCAAAGTTTCTTTGAATAAATTAAACTATCAAAAGAAATTGTAAAATAAACATCTCTTTTTCAAAGTTCTGGTCAATCATATATACATTTTTGTTTTCATCAATGTTATTCATTCAATGATTTTAAAAGAATCTATTTACTATATTGATATAGTAATTATGTAATTTTATTTTCTGCTTTAATCTATGCACTCACCGCCTTCTTACTATAACTATATACGTGTATATATTAATTGTGACGAATAACATTTACACATTTCTTATTTTTCTTCTAATATTGATGATTGCTTTTCCAACCACTAGTTGTACATTATAGTCGTGATTTATAAATGTCCTTTTTTTCAAAAACAACACACGACAGTAGACAAATAAATAAATCCGATTTGGTCACACCCACCCTAAGTTCGACTTTGAGCTAGCTAGCAATAATAGTTACGTTATAATATAAACCACATACGATCTGTGTTTGTTTGAATCCTATCATCACTCATCAGTTATAAAGGAAAGTGAAAATCTTATAGCAATTACAAAAAGAAAGAAAGAAAACAAAAATCTGAGAGAGCAATTATGAAGTTTTCCATGGCTCTTATCTTTCTTCTTCCGCAAGTTTTGTCAGTTTTACTTGTTGGTCTTGCTCAAGACCCCTCAGGTAAAAACCCTAATTTACTTCAAACCTAAAAATATCCCAAGTTTGTTTATCTTTCTGAAGTTTTTTTTTTATACACACAGTTTATCAGTTTATCGTGTGGATCTCCGCGAGGTGAAATCTTGCATGACAAAGAAACCAACATTTTTTTTTTTTTTTTAAGAAACCAACATTAAATACACTACCGACGCAGATTCTATACCAGGTTTGTTGCTCCAATTTGCTCCGGTGAGATGATTTTATGCTGTTACCAACACCGGTGTGGATGAAATACACTACCGACGCAGATTTCATCCACACCGGTGTTGGTAACGGCATAAAATCATCTCACCGGAGCAAATTGGAGCAACAAACCTGGTATAGATATAACATTCTTACTGATTAAAAGAAAACCTAAAGCTAAAACTACTAATCATTTATTTACTTGTCACGCAAGGTACGTCCAGAGTTTTCCACTAGGTATTAGGAATTGTTACACCTTAAACCTGACCAGAGGCGACAAGTATCTGATCAGGACTACTTTTCGTCACGACGGTTATGACGATAACCCTTCCACGAAGTTTGATCTCCACCTCAGGCCTAACCGATGAGCCACAGTTTCAACGACCACCGAGTCTATCTCAGAAACTTTTGAGATGATTCATCAATTGAGCAGTGACAGGTTATAAGTCTGGCTAGTCAAGACACATTGATTCAACTCCATTCATCTCGGCTTTAGAGCTGCGTAAACTCAATAGCGATGCCTACATGACCAAGACTCATACAGAATCCTTGCAGACTATCTTCAGAGCAGACATTGGCTCGGTCTCTAACCAATCCTTGAGGTTTGAGTTACGTATTCATATAAAACTATGACATGAACAAGAACTTAACAGATTCCACATTGCCGCCTCTGCTCAATGTCATGGAGGTATACTTGGTGAATTCGTTATCGCAAAAAGAAACTGATCGAAAAGAAGGTGGGTTAAACAAACTAACTAGTGTAGCTAGCTAATGTTTCTTTCTTTACTAACCTGAGTAAACTGCTATTCAGTTGATGTAATGATGATCATCAAGTCCCGGTATGGTGTGAACCGAATAGATTGAGAAGGTATTGGAGATAGTTTGGGGAGCAAGACGTGTAGCTTGCAGACCAAGTATTTTGGGGCATCAAAACCTGTCTATGAAGTGAAGCCCGTGAAGCCCAGAAGAAGAATATTCTAGATCTCTACATTACTTCTTGTACAAGATATTTCCATTATGTATTAGGAAAGTTTACATTATATGGTGTTAGCAAATATGTTAAGCTAATCACTATATAAGATTTAGATCCTTGCACGTCGCATGATTACAGTTGGGATGGTATTAACTGCAGCTACATACACATGAACCACCTAAGATCATCTCTCTGTGAGTACATTGATTGCTTTTCAAATGCATTTTAGAGGACCAAGAAAAAAGCTTAATCGATATGGTTTTGATCTTGAAATAGGAACTTGACTTCCAGTTGCTTAGTCGGGGAGATACTGGACTCCATATTCAACCTTACAAATTTACAAGTTCTGTAAGTAGATGCTTAATTCTTATGGACACAAGAGTTTGAATTTTGAAAGTAATTTGTGCTTAATATTAGAATGGGGTTTTTTGCAGTGATTTTTTCTGACAATAATCTGAGTGGTTCGGTCCCGGAGTTTCTAGCTAATATGGAAATTTTGAAACTCATGTAAGTTGAGACACTAAGTCGACCAAATTAATAAATTATTCATTATCACTAACATGTTGCAACCTCTGTTTCACGCAGAGATCTGTCAAGAAATCAGCTAACTGGTTCAATCTCTACAAATCTTCTCGTTAAATTTATTCGTTATCACTAACATGTTGCAATCTTTGTTTCACGCAGAGATCTTTCAAAGAATCAACTAACTGGTTCAATCCCTACAAATCTATCAAGGAATAACAATTTTTTTAGTTTCATAAATGAACTTACGAATTAACTTTGTCCCTGTGCACGGTATTATCTAGTTTTGATGTTTTCACTTTCAAAAAAGTTTTCATGAGCTGCAATTGTGTTGTTAAACTCCATGATATATAAATATATCATAGTACTCTTTTATCACTATGTTAAATTCTTGAAGAAATCTTACAAGTGATAAAAAAAATATAGTGCAAACAACTTAAATTGAAATTGCCATGAATAGAATATGTAACTAAATGAAAAGCCAAATATAACAAAGTGTACTTTTCTAATATAACCATGGCTACGGTGATTGAATGATTGGGACGGTGTATATTTTTCTTTAATAATATCTTTATATATCTAAATATAAATTAATATTAACATAAATTTAGTTTCTTTAAAATATATATCACAATATATAATTATTAAGTTCAACAATTTTTGAAATTTGAAAAAACAAAATGGTTTTTGTAATTGTAAATTGTTAAACTTATCAAGATATTATTGTCTTTTTATTCAAAAATAAAGTTATTTTTCAAAAGATTTAAAACTTGGGCTAGTTTTCAAATTTTATAAAAAATTTGGAATGCTAAACCACATTGCCCAATAAATTGACTAAATTATTTTTCTTTAAAGAGAGACAAATTTCTAAATTTTTGTGGGTTTAAAAATCATAAATCTTAAAATCAAATTCCGGGCCTTGATTAACCTACAATCTTTCTTGATAAAAAAATAATGATATTTAAAAAAAAAAATCGCTCATACTTATTTCAAAATCAATGAAACTCTTTTGGGAATATTTTTCGTAAAAGAAGCAAAAAATATTTAGATATGCTTAAATAAAGTATCGAAAGACACGTGGTGTATCCGAAGCATGTGATTTTGTTTTTTCCTTTCTTCCATTGTCGACTTGTTCCAATCCATTCCATGGAAATGGAAACCCCCTCTAGTCATTAAATACTTCCACCAATACATTCTCTTCTCTTCATCATAACAATAAATATAAAATATTTCTTTCCTTCAAGGTTTTTCGAAGTACAATAAAAAAAAATTAGTAGCTTTTTTCTTAAGGGCTTCAATGATTTTATTATTGTTCTTACTTCCATTTTTAATAAAATTTTGTCATTTATCGTAAATGCTTAAGTTCCTAATATTTTTTTTTTGCTAAAAATATAAATATCATATAAAATGAAGATGTTTAGGCATTACAAACAACTTTGACAAAAAAATATAAAAACAAGGTTATAATAAATTTGGATTAAATTTGCGAGTTCTCCAAAATTGCATTTGGTTCCGCAAACGCTTCTTTTTCTTTCTAGCTGAGATTTTGTTGCGAATCTCCCCCTCAATGTTCTTGAAAATCAGTAGAGGTGGAATCACCTCAGAATTATGAAGGACATTATTGCAAAGATGTATGATTTAGGTAATAACATTATTTAAACATTCTTCTTGAAGAAATTTGTTTATAACACATTTATAGTGATATGGGAGTTAATAATTCAAATTTTCAAAATCTAAATTCATAGAAACTCTTTTAAAAACAAAATTCTGTCAAACAATCGAACTATGCGTGGATTACTTCATGTTTAATTTCGGTCCAAATTATATAACATGATGAACATATAAAATGAATAGATTTGAATCTAACCCGATTTATCAATGTAAAAGTAAAATAATTAATTGGTAATCTTTTAAAATTAGAGCTACAAAATCAAAATATTTTAGCAAGAAAACAAAAATTTCGGAAAAAAATATATTTGACCCCAATATTTTAACATATTTATACATTTGACCCAAAACCAATTCGAATAAAAAGTTTCTCGCTTTACGTTCTGTTTTTCCTAGGTCGTCGTTTCACCACGTTGCTTGCGTGGAAAGAGATCTTTGAAGATTATCC